TAGCACATTTCTTAAAAATCATGAATTATTTTAACATATTGAAATTTTTCACCTGGTAAAAGTAGTTATGGTTTTCTTTTAAATGAATGTCACCATCTTCTATTTTTAAGCATGGAAATGGGTTTGAATATTAGGTAATGTGCGCCAATAATGTCAAATTATGACAATTCGCAGAAAACGTCAACTTTTTATTTAGATTTTAATGTGCAAAAGCCTACCTACTTTGGATATTGATCGTAGAAAAAATATATTCAGAATAATGGAACATTATTATTAAATAACAAGTTTTTTTATTGTCAATTTAATACGTAATATTATTTTTTAATTGCAAATATTTGAATGTTAAAATTATAGCGTTTAATTTTTTTATTCAATGACGAACTCGAGAGTGATAGAAAAAAAATACTACCTACCTTTAATGCAGGAAGTCGATGTCAATTTATCCAAAAATAAAACTGATTAAAATGTACAATGAAACTCACTAGGACACTTGGCACAAATAAATAAATTTTCTATTAAAGAAAATAACACTTATTAAAAACAAACAGCACAATAAAACACTTCAGAAACGTGTAATGTAATTTTGAAAACTAAATACCCGTAAGCTTGTTTGTAAATTTATAGACTCTTAACTCCTTCCCCCAGCCTTCATTAAGTATATTAAAAGTCGTGACGTCATATTGGCACAGATATACGGTAATGTGTTTTTGACAATCAGGGAAATAACTACCTAAGATAAGATAAGATCACTGATCTGTATTATTTGACTGGATAGGATATAGCCCCCTAAAAAACGTTCCGAAAAATTGGCCGATTTGGGCAAATAATATGGCGGACCGGATGTTATTTAACGTAACCTCTATTTCCATTTCCCAGACAGCACACCAAATCCTTTGGATATCTACTGAACATCCCAATATCCACTGAATGTCCAGTCCATGGTAGATATTTATTTTATATCCATGAAATGTAATTTATAGACATGCAAATGTCCATAAATAATAGTAATTATATAGCAAATTATTAAAAAATTACGCCATTGTGCTCGCCATTGTGGCTAATAGTACCGTTCAGATATTTAAAATTAATTTTTTTAAGGTGTATTCAATATCCCATGGACATCCACATATATCAAAGTCTTAGCGCGGACGCAAACCATCGTGGATATCTACTAGATGTAATTTTTGATTTCGCTTCCAAAGTATAGATGGCGATACCACTTTCGTATCTACTCATGCTCAACCCGCCATAATTGAGTTGATCGAATATTTATTCGCATTAAGACTCTATTAGAGACTGGAGTCGAGAATTTCAATTTATTGCTGAAGGGTCCTAATAAGGATGACTTTTTCCTTAGTGGGCAAACTCAAAGGCAGATTGTTGGAAATATTTTTATCTCTTATTTTCTTTCGACGTTATTCAATAATCATTTGGTTACTTATGAATGTCTATTAAAGATATCTATAAAATATTTTGCTGAATATCTGAATTCTATATCCTGGGATATAGACGGACATTTGGTTGGATATCCACAAAATATATTCTGTGGTTATCTCTGGGATTTCTTGTATTGTCTGGAAGATACTAATTAGATATTTTGCTAAATATCCATAGGATATCTTCTATATTCTGGATATAGACGGACATTTGGATATCCATATTAGATCCACGGAATATTTCTGATATCCTGTGGATATATTGGATATCCACAAAAGATATTCTGTGGATATCTCTGGGATTTGGTGTGTTGTCCGGGTTGTCATCACATTTGTCATTTGATTGTGTCAACAAGCTACGATGAGATGTTTTTATTGTGAAACAAAGTAAAAAGAGTATGAAATAAACAATAAACGTTCATTCCTGAAGACACAATATGCTTCACGTTTCCATTTTTATATTTTCTTTCATAAAAAATCAAATCATGGGTGAAATTTCCCGAAGGACATCGCCCGCAAAAGGAATAGAAGAAGAATAAGAAGAAAAACTAATCAAATTATAGGTTAGATATGTCAAATTATCCCAAATTTCAGTTCTGTGAACCCACCATAATTTGCCCAAATCGGCCAGCATTGTTGTACTTCCGGTCTCCTTGGTGGAACGATTTTTTAGTATGTTAAATATAGCCTATATCCTATCCAGTAAAATAATACAGATCAGTTGATAAGATAAGATAAATGAATGTTAAATACCTACTCATAATATCTATTGTAGGGTTTTTGTACTTTAATAGGATAAATATTTATGCGGGCCTGGAAATTCCAGGAAATGACAGTCAAAATTACCCAAAAACATTTGGTTAGTACCAACATCAGATAACAGATAACTTCGGTGTTTAACCAATTAATCACAATTAATATTCTTGAACATTCAAATGACAAAAAACTTCCATCTTTAACTAATGAGAATATAGTTTTCATTCGATACTTCAAAATCACAATTTATTAATTAGGTAGAATAGTTTTAAAATATATTGCGAATTGCGACACGTCAAGTGTTTCACTCCGACTCAATGTGACGCAATTATTGTGGCAATATATTTTGAAACGACTCTATATTCGTGACTTGAAATTATAAACATCCCTCGTATTACTACTCGTATATAAACCAAATTATTTGTTTTAGGAAATATTTATATTTAATGTGAGGCAAGATATCATTTTTGTTGTTACCATCTGCATCTACATTCTTTACTTTGATCCAGGAAACAAAGTCAATTTTCGATAAAAATAAAATGTAATAGGTAGGTAATACTTTATAAAACAGTACAATAAAAGTATTGAAATAAAGTATGCTCATACTCCAAAATGAGTCCTAGAGTTAACATTTTTATAATATTATAAATGGCATATAAAACGATTGGACCGTTTTCACAATCGCGAAATAATTTTTTTTTTATTTGGTGAAATCCCGGCAATTATTGAAAAATAGATTTTATGTTCAGGACTATTATTATGATTCTTCGAACTCAGTCTACTAAAAACCGGTTTATAATACAATATCCCCTAATAGCTAGTCGGTCGATATTTATAGTTACTTAAAGATTTCTGTAATAATTTGCACTAATTCAATCTCTAGTCGGTAGGTAACAGCACCTCCTTGATTGAATCTAAATTGACATAATTTTGTTCAGAAATTCCTAGGAGACGCTGTCCTTAAAACAAAATCGACGTGTCCGAGCAGAAAGTCAAAATTTTAAGATAACATTAGAAGAGCCAAAAGTGGTTAACGGGTGTGTGCACGTAGCTTAGATTTGTATTTAGTGCAAAATTATAGGCATCTTTTGCACGAAATACAAATATGTTTTTGCCATACATAAAGTTTTACATTTAATACTTCCGGATTTATGTTTGAAAGTTGGGTATTTGGGTAAAGACTGCAGAATATCTGCAATTAGAAAACATAGCACTTGGTGGGGTTTGCATTTAGACGGCTTGAATGTTAAATTGAAGCTTGGACAACAAACTCACTTTTGTTTATAAAGCCAACTTATTAAAACATACGTATCACAAAATGATATTTAACACTTTCTTTCGTAAAACGTATGAATCATACGATCTACGAATGTAAAATAAAAGGTTACATTTTTTTTTCTGTTAGTTGAACTTTTTCTTTTTTTTTTAATATTTACTTGAGGTACCATACTGTTTTGCTGCTTACTTAATTTTGTAGTCTGGAATTGAATATTTTTATATTATTTTCTCGAGAAATGAAATTGGTTTATTACAGCAATTTATTCAAGTATCTTTGGGTCTACAAGTTGTTATAAAAATGAAAAATCTCAAAAGATATTTGTGTTTGTTCACTACTAAATTCTGTCAATATCATGCAGTTGTGAAACTGTATGCTATAAAACTAAATAGAACAACTTGATTCCAAAGCATCTTTGCTACACCTACTTATTACCTTACGAGTAGCCCACTCAATGAACACGTGAAATGCCACTCCGTACCTTGTTTTTAGTTTTTTGCGAGGTAAAACATAGGGTGACGCAACTTGTCTATACATGACTTAATCAACGTCCTTACTTTGATCTACGAATCTCTTCTAGCAACAGCATGTTATTGATTATATTTTTACACTATAAAGCTACCATTTCGCAAACCGAGGCAGAGACCGACTTTAAAACGCGCCGCGACAGCAAGGAAGACACTAAACGGTCTCTTCACGTCTGAACACATGTAATTATGAAACACATTTCGGTAGAAGCGACCAACGACATCAGATTTAGTATGGCGCCTTGCTTCTGTCTCGGTCTCGCGTCGCTTGTCGCGCGTTGCCAAATGGTACCTTAAAGGTACCATTTCGATAGGCGCAACAGACAATAGACGACAACAGAGGCGACGGCAAAGGCGACCGAGAACGGTCTCTTCACGTCTGAACACATGCAATTATATGAAATACATTTCGCAAAGCGCGACACGTCCGAGAGACAGAAGTCGACGACACTTTAGATCGGTCTCGGCTGCCCCGAGACCGATCTAAAGTTTGCTGCCTGTCGCACTCAGTCCTCACTGTCCTCAGACATCGCTCGTATTTCGAGGTAATTAGTCGATATTTTATAGAATTGGTAGTTGGAAATTTCTTTTGATCTAGGCAGTGTTGCCAGATGAACATTTGTTGGAACAGTATGGGTGAAAAAAAAAACCGTATATCTGAACAGTAGATTTTAATACAGGGGAAATAATTATAATTTGCAGTGTAGTAAATAAAAAAAAAAAAACAAGTACATAAGAAACGAAAAATAAACATTTTTCTACCCAAATTAGAAAGTAAACAAAGAATAAAAACAAACCAAAACAAAACAGAACTAATCAAATGACGCTTCTAAAATTAAGTGCCTATAAACATTAATATATCATAACCTATAAAAGTATTCTTTCTATTTCATCTAAAATCAGAAATAGAGACGGCAACACTACAACATGAGTAATTTTGGTTGCCCAATGTGTAATGGTGTTAAATTACTAATTACTAATTTTGTATTTTTTTTTTTATTTCAGACGGTCTGGATATGCATCCTCTGTCGAAAAAAACAAGAACTGCTGAGCAAAACGGGTCAATGGATGTTCGGCAGTCCTAACGCCGAGCTGGACATCCCCCAAACACAACAAGCGCCATCCGATAAGCGGCCGAAACTGGAGAGAGCGCACTCGGCCGCCGAAAAGGAGAACCTACCTCTCCAGAGGTCAGGCAGCGTGTTACGGAGGCAGTACTCGGAGCAGGAACCTCGGGCGCCCTCTTGCGAACGGTACCAGCAGTTCAACGAGGAAGACCCGAGGTTCTATCAAGGAGAGTTGGAAGGACTGATGAGAACGCACCCGCATCTTGTACCAAGGAGGTATGTTCGAGATATATGTATACTTTCTTTGTCTTACTTCTTCGTTTAGTAAAAATTCTTATATTACTCTATTTTAACTTTGTCTTTGTCCATTATAAACAAGTAAAGATGTAATGGAGGCAGGTTATTACCGCCTCTTGTTTTTGTTGCATTATCCTGCTTTTTTCATGTATTACGTTTATATAACATTTAACGCTGTTACGTCTCATTCGAATCAAACTAATAATAAAGAAGATAGCTGCAACTTTTCTTATACCCTTGTTTATGCCATTATCATATTACGGTGAATCATAGAGGTAGAAGGTAAGGATACGTCATATGGTCTAAGATGGGTTCACTTAAATTATCCACCTTATTTCAGTAGAATGTGTATTGTCTTTAGTGTCATCCCTGTGCAAATTGCACAGTTTTGTTCAGCATCCCTTGTATAACCATAATAGAGTACTATTAATTAAAGCTGCAGCTAACAAATATAAAAACATTAAGATGTCTTACCCTATTAAAAATAAAATAAAAAAATGTGATAGCATAAGACATTACAACAATAAAATTGTAGTGTTTAGTGATCAATATAATCATAATTTTTATATTATTTGTTATTTTGCCATTATATTTTCTATTATTATTTACCTCTTTAAAAATTGATTATTTTAGGTTAGATCAATTACGATCTAACTTAATAGTTAAACCATAATGTATCAAATGAAATTTATAGACTTTGTAATTATTTTATAAAATACCGTGTAACATAAAATATTCCACGTTTTTTATTCCTTATTTTATCAATAACTAATTACTGAAATTTTGTTGTTATAAACTTTATCATCCGTTTTTAAACAATTAATAAATATAACTTACGTTTCCTAAAAAAAAAGAAAATGAATGTTTGGGTTGCATTCAAAATAGCCCGTATCTGTCGAATCGGCCATATTGAGTCTACTTAAGTCCAGTGATATCGTTTTGAATGTTTAAAAAAGATGCTTATAGTGTATCCCTACCTAATAAACTCTATGTTAGAGCGTCTCCCTACCTTCTAGCTCCATGCGGTGAATATATGAAGTGACACATGACAGCATCAATCTACCTGCGAGTAGATGATGTATAATGACAGGTGGTATCATGTAGCGATTGTAGATGAAGTGACAGGTGGTGCCATTTAGCATTGGTTAAATTCTTGTATAAAAAACAATGATCACATAAAATGTCAGAAACGTCGATCAAGAGAACTAGTATACATGTAGCGCCATCTCGCTCACGTGTGAATGACAACGATGATCGCCACCGCGCATGATGCCTCTGAACCTGCTTTACTGTATATTTAGGTTCGATTTCTAAATAGTCAGTACTTCAGTACCTCAGTCCATACTTATATTTGGATTGGATCTCCATTGATTTTGTTTCTGCTTTTATTTGTTTGGTGTTTTGTACTCGCTGTCTGTTTATTAGAGCTTTTGATTATTTCTTATAATGATTTCGATCCTATGAATTGATGTTTTGATCCATCTTTGGTAAGTTTATTAGCCTTAAATGCATGTGCCTGTATCAGCTGATTAATCATAGGAAGGACGGCTTTGACTTAAATCTGTTTGAAAAAAAGTTCCAAGGTTGATTGAATATTTTTGAGAGAATTAAGATGATTTGTTCCTTTTTACTTCCCTTTTTTTCATAAAAACAATTCAACTGCAAATCAACTGAGTCTGAAATAGAGTGCTATTTTTTCTCAATGAGACAGTGAGGTTGAACTTCATCTACTTCAATTCGAGATTCAAGACTCTATATCCAGATTTACTTCACTTAAGTTGTAGTTTACCAGGGAGAGTTAGGCAAAGTGTTGGTTGTTGGTGATGGTTTCATACTCTTTGTTTATTGAGATTTTTACCCTTATTCTACAACTTTTTCTGTTATCATAGCTTTTTGGATTGATACTACTGCTGGGATCTGGTATTCGTAGCTCTCTGCTACCAGGTTAAACATTCTTGCCTTGCCTGAAGTTAAATTGGCACTCTCACAAATATTTTGTGGCAAAATAAGTACCTTAGAAGCTCTTATTCCCGCATAAATACTATTAGTAACAATATGATACTCTTTCCAGGTACCCAGAACCTGAAACGGAACCCATTCAAATGGACCATTCACAGCAACGGGTCCAACCCATGGCTAGCTCTAATAAGAAACACAAGCGAAGCGGATCCACGAAAAAGCACCAACAACACCCCCCGCCCCAAGTCCAACTTCACAACTACTCCAGTTCCGAAGAGGATCTAAAATCCACTCCGGAATACGGTAGCGACGAAAGAGATAGCGAAAAAGGTAAGCGATAGCAATAGATCGTACTTAGAACTTAGAACTAGCGATTAGAAACTTGAAGTTGTTGCTCCCATAACTCTAGTGTGTTTAAATTTAAGCAGAGATGTACTTTTCTTCTCCCCCTGTAGATATTTAGTGACTAAATAACGTCGGACGATCGATTGAAAGTGAGTAAAACGATCTGATTTGTTGTTTGCGTTTGAGTAATGGGTTAAACTTGATCGTGGCGTTTTGGAGCGACGCAAGGACCAGTAGGTGGGCCGATAATGCGTCGAAGGTTTCTTGCAGGTCATGGAGTTTTTGTATATAAACAAGTTTTATGTGTGAAACAATAAGGTAAAAGTGCATTTGGTGAAGGTTTACGATCATCGATATTCATATTGACGGTATAATTAAAAATGTTTTCAAAACCAATAAATACAATGATGTACCAATCTGATATTTTCTTTGATTTTAAGATCTATTGGTTTTTTGCTTGTAAGTTACTGTTGTTAAGTCATAAATTATTACAACAGTAAACAGAAATGCCAAAATAGCTACCTTGTTGAATATCTCATTGGATATTCAACGTGTTAGAGCAAGAAAACCTTGGAAGAAAGAAAATAACGGACATTTGGTGCCAATATTTTCATCTCTGTAAAACGAAAAACCAATAGGAAAGAGCAATAATAAAGCCAGGACAATCGCACATTGAATTGAAGTTAAAAACTAATGATATAAGTAATACTGCGAAAGAAGCAATTAGAAATAACATTCATGGCAGGACTGAAGTCACCAGTTCTGAAAGGAGTGGATATTAGTGCACCATCTTGTTAACACCACAAAACTGTAATGTCATTAAAAAAATAGTTTGGTGATGGTTTTTAATGGGTAAATTTTTAGAGGCGGTTCTGACTGTTACATAAAATCTGAAACACCCAATATAAATATAGAACTATCAGATTTAATAATAATTTATCATCTATTCGTACTTTTCTATAAATACCGATTACTAATTGTTACAATAAATCGATGATCTTAAAACTTCCCTATAAAAACTGTCTATCTTTTTTCTTTAACAAGTTTGACGTCAATTTTGCAATTTCCAGGCATACGAGGCAGAGAAAAATTAACTGATAATTTGAGTCGGCAGGCTATTCTAGATGAGCGAATTAAAACGTTTTTAGCGGTGAGGAACGGCTACAGCCAATCGAATAGTATTCGATTTAAACAGATTGAGGGTGGAAATATCGAGATCGATGTATCGATCGTATAGGAGAGTATCGAATAAAAAAAATCGATTATAAATTTGTATTTGTTAAACTTTTGAATCGATTAGGGAAAATGTGGATAAGAATTGAATGATTATTATTTACATAAATATAAATAAATGGTGGTAACACTTGTAAAATATATATAATATATAATAAATTTGATTTACTTCAGCTGTGTTATTATTTTAAATAGGCATTTTCTTTCAATCTTACAAAAAAAATACTGGCAAATAAAATTGAAGACAATTCATGTTAACAATATTAGGCATTCCAAACTGAATGGCTACCAGTGGGTTTTGACAGGTTATGATATGAAATTATGGCATTATTTACCTTTCTACTTTAAGTCATAAGTTTATGTTCATTTTGAAAGATAGATGATCAATCTATTTAACTCTCTATATCATTGACGCTGTCAGTTCACCAGGTCTACAGGGTTGCCATAATATAACCTGTCTTACCCACGGGCAGCCATTTTGTTTGGAATGCCTAATACAATGGTCATGTTAGTTCTTAACAAAATGTTGAATTCAAGTAAATAAGTCAATAAATAACCAAAACATTATTATTATATGAAACATTCCTTTCATTTGACAGCATTAGAGTGGATATGGACAATACACTCGCGTTGTACAGTATATTTTTTACGACCCACTAACGAAGAATCTACAAATTCAAAAAACTATTTTAGGTTATTAAGACAAAATAACTAATTTTAAAATAATTTATGAGATTTACTAATTTATTAAATAAAATAAACATGAAAAAAAAATTTAATTTAATTAGTTCCTAGACCATATTTGAACCCGGCCCTCTCGCGTGGAAGACTGACTCCGTGTCCTCACCTCCACCGCCACATTCAGGATTATAGTTTTAATAATCGCGCAATTAAATTAGTTTTTAGTTTTATTAAAATTAACGAATTATTTATACTTAGACAAAAGAAAGAAATACCATTATTTATCAATTCTACACAAAAAAAAAATCATTTTAATCTATAATTAATCTCAATAACTAAAAAAATATACTAACAGAATTGTTACTTATTTAAAAAAATTTAAATCTATTTTTTCTGTGACGGGCAAAATAACGATTTAATATTAAAAAAATATTCGAAAATATCTACCTTTTTTTATGTGTACAAATATCCGGGAAAAAAGTATTCACTTTTTTCCTGGGAAACAGGGAAAAAAGTAAATTCATAAAAAGTCATTTTGTTACCTGACAAGAGAGATTAAATGACAAACTTTTTTCCAGTCACAGTACTGTAGATGTAATATATAAGTAGTTTTGGTCAAAAATGAGTATTGACTTTCTTTTAAAAATTGACAAAGAAAAAATGGCGGCGCTATACCTGTCAAAAGTAATCGATATTTCTTATTCGATATTTTCAAATCGATACTTCGCACGCGATATTTTTCCTAACAATCGATTCGATGTTGTGATTTCATTGTTTCTCTTTATTATTTCTTTTTCTATATACATATAGCATGAAGGTGTCAACACGCAGCTTGCGCACAAATTTTTATCTAATTCTTGCATTTGTCCATTTTTTCTATATACATATTACTTATATACTTGTCTTGGATGGAGCTACTCAGATTTCGATTGTTTTTTGCCATAAACGGTACGGACATTATTTGCTGTGTTTATTCGTTTTTTTTTACTTTTATTGTAGGGATACCTTCGCTATGAAGAATAGATTTGACATTTAGAAAAATATGAAATAGATCACAATTTGGATTTCCACAGAAATTATGACAATGAAAATATTACTAATCCCAGATTGGAGAAGAATTAGTCATTATTTTGTTCTTCAAAATCATATTCATATAATATATAATAATTCTGACAGATCTGCTATCTAATCACCAAATTAATTTAATGATATTTATCTATTTATCTTACTTTCACCTTTTTCTTCATCTACTTCATTTCTGTATGTCTCTTTAGACATCAAATTTAAGAATACGAATCTCTTGGGGCATATTTTTTTAGCTTTTTTTATATTGCTTTACCTTGAGCCTTTCCTCACTTTTAAATTTGATCTATCCGCGCCCATCTTGGACTTCCCTTTCATTTGGTTTCATCCTTAACAGGATCTTACCACTTATTTTTCTTCTTGTTACTGTATTAATATCTACATAGGCGATACAGACCAATATGTGGATATTAGAATTAAAGAACCTTTGAAATCAATATTGATGTATTCAAAGACCTGATCCTACATCATCTACAGATAGAGACCAATCTAGGAAAGAGTAATATTTTTATGAACAATAAATTCTTAGGAACCAACTTTGGTTTTGATCTGTACTAAATTTCTAAAACTCAATATCTTATAGCAAACCTATCCTCTTCCATACTAAAACAATGTTTAGGTAACAATGGCACGTGGCCTCCTTTGAGCCACTACATAGTAGCGCCGGTGCACCAACACAGGCCGCTGCAAGACGTAACTGCAGATAACAGAGGCTTCACCGAGCGAAGAAAGAAGACGGTACGTTTCGACCATCACGACGGTAGTCGTCAGGGTTCGCAGGACTCTCACAGGGATTCAGGAATAGATACGTCTTCCACGTTTACGTCAAGTGAGGACTCAACGACCAGGGGGGACTTGCCCAAGGTGCTTGACGTACGATTTTTAAAGGGTGACTTGGTGACGTCACATTAGTTTTTACTTAATTTTTGAGTCTACAATTAACATTTTTGCGGTTTGGGTATATGACTTTGAGTTTGCAGATTCATATGAAGACAGTGGTTAAAAAGAATTCCTAAAATTATGATTTAATAACTTAGTAACCATTAAAAACATTCATTTTTATAAAAATTCTTAAAAATGATTATATTTTACAGGAAATAAGAAAAAATCAGTATAGTACAGTTGTTGTGTATAGTACTGATGTGACATGTTCAGTCAGCTAGTGAGTATTGTTGTATTATGAGCCATTAACAAGAAATGCGATAAAATGAATATTTGCAAATGATAGGTTTTCTTTTACAAAAGGTAACTTTAAGGCAAAATGTCAGTGACAGATGCTGAAAAATAAACAAGTAAAAGGATTCTCGCGTACCAAGTCTGGACACCACACAATCCCTGCCCATTCTAGAATAAGACGTAGCATTTTTGAGAAAGTGTTTTAAATTAAGTACCATTTGATTATTTTTATCAATGTGAGGCATAGGCAATTTGTTTATATTTAGAGGCTGTTAGTTGTAAAGGGGACTGTCAAATATTTCTGTATCATTGGCATAAAAAAATATTATATGGAGCCTCGTGGGATACCACTTAAAATTTGACTTTTTAAATAGAACTTGTTTCCAAAAAATTGAATCGCTAAGGTTACTCGGTTACCGCGGATGCCTAGATGTTCTAGTGAATGGAGTAGTCGACGTTTTGGGACTGTCGAAAAATTTAGATAGATTATATCTATAGGCTTTTTATTGTCAATGGATTTCGTCCAACTATTAATACAATGGAGGGGGTTGGTCAAAGTTGATCGTCCTTTAAGAAAGTCTTGTTTTTGACGTGGTATAAAACTTTTTCATGGATTAGAAAGGAGGATGTACAACAATTGATTTCATTATCTTGCACACAATTGGTAGAAGACTTATCAGGTGGTAGTTGTAAGGATCAAGTTTATTGCCTTTTGGAGATCGAATTGATACATGCAGATTTCCTGGAGAAGGGAAGAGAACCTTGAATGAAAGAAGTATTTATTATTAGGGAAAGGATTAGGTATTCAACAGTCAAGTCCAAG